ATTAATATAATTTTAAAATTATTTAATTATATAATTATTTATATTTTAAAGATATATAAAATATATCATTATCCACCCTGTTTTTATCTTTTATCTTTTATTTTTTTTCACATTTGGGTTCGCGCGAACCCAGGCGCAGGGTTCATCGTGAACCCAGCTCCTAGGTTCGTCGACGAACCTGGGTGCTGGGTTCCTGGCAACCTCAGCGCCTGGGTTCCGATACGAACCCAGGCGTGGGGTTCGTCGTGAACCCAGGCGTGGGGTTCGTCGTGAACCCAAGCGCTGGGTTCATCTTGGAACCCAAGCGCGGGGTTCGCCGCGAATTCAGCTCTTAGGTTCATAGTGAGGGATTTTCGGTAAGGATTTTCTGTTTGTTTCTTTGATTGGATGAGGAAGAATTTTTGTTTGTTTCTCTGATTGAATTGGATGAGGAAGAAAACAGTGAAGAATGGTGAAGAATGGGGTAGAAATGTGGTGTTTTTAAACATTATTTAGTGGTTTTTTTATAAATAAAAGGAAGTGCGAAGATAAAATGGGGATATCATGTCAATTTCATTAATTCAAAAGCCGAAAGTTGTCGCGGAAGTAAGAAATGGGAGCTTCCGGCCTTTGCAAAAGAAAAGTGAGAAGCTGAGCTTCTCAAAAGCTGCAACCACTTTCGGAAGCTGATCTGTTTGGTACAGCTTGTGCTTTTAGAGTCAAAAAGCTCTTCTCACAATCTATACCAAACATGTCCTAAAAAGATTGCTTCTTCTTCTTTCTCTCGTAGAAGTTGTTTTTATGATCGAACTGCTTGGGTTAATGATGATATTTTGCTTGCAAAAACCCAAAATTTCTCCCATTCTGAAACTATCTTTCTGATTCATGGGGTTGCAATCGATCACGAAACGTACTCTTGCAAAGAGGAAGAAAAGGTATGTTGACTACGTAAAACATTGCATCACCCTCCAACGTGGATCAGACGGTGTACAAAAGCATTTTTAAGTTTCTCATGTGCTGCAAGGCACCTGATCACTTCTCTTTCTTCTTCGCTTGCGCATCCACATATAGCAATCATTCTACCTATAGGGTTTCTCGTTTCTTCATTGGGCCCCCAAAAACAGCCATGATGGGAGACAAAAATCATCACTCTCCATCGGGAAATGGTTATGGCCTCCTGTGAGTTACTTAGCATTTTTTTATAAATAATAGTTATGATATTTAAAAATATTAATGTGTAAATTAATTTTAAAGTTTTGTTAATAATCATTAATTAATAATTATTATTTTTTAAAAAAGATGTAAGTTTTTAAATTAAAAAATTAAATTTTGATTTTAAAATAAACAAATAAAAAATTGACACGTGGTATTCGTAATTAAAAGAAAAGTTAATTTTATTATTTTTCAAATAAAATATTATAATAATTACATAACTATTATTTTTTACCTTGTAATCCTAGGACAAAAGATAAATAAATCTTAATTTTAATCTATTAAATATAAATAACTATTATTTTGTTATTTATCAATAAATAATTAAAATTTTAATTATTTTTAATAATCAAACTAAATAAAATTAATATTTTAAAAAATAAAATAAAAATTTTTGAGTACTCCAATAATTTATTAGGTGACCATAACTATAGTACTACCTTCATTTATTAACGAGGAAAATATTTCTCCAAAACCCTTGACTGTATTTGTACTATGTATTGATGCAATGCACGTGGATATATACATGAAGTGTTTTTGTAGACTAAGGACGATGGGAGTAAATAAGCAGTATGGAAATTTAGTTTACACATGCAATGTGCCCATCAATATGCTGAAATCCAAGGTGAGAAGGACGGGGGGTTGAATTTTTTATTTTTTTAAACAGCAAAGGACAGGGATTGGTTTTAAGGACAAAGTTCCAATCCAGTTGTTAAATTCCATTGAACATAAGGTAAAGAGAGAAAAAAAGGAGAAGGCTGAAAAGAGTAGGGTGGAATTTCCTTTTATGAAATATAAATACATGTTACGAGATGGATTGGGATCAGATCTGACAGCCATTGATCATTCTCAAAGTCATACAAAGAGAAGTGCAAAAAAGAAAGTGGGGTTCTGAAATTTCCAACGCTATTGCTCCTTAGAGTCCTTTGAAATTATAATGTAGCCCTTGAATTTTCACAAAAGTATGATTTAAAGTCCTAAACTATTTGGGTGACATATAATAAAAAAAAAACCTGCACTAAAGGTCCTAGCATGATCCACAGTTGGGAGATAGCCACAGTCTTAATAGTTCTTCAAGTAAAGGTGCACAAACTCTTCACACCTCAAGTTTAAGTTATTAGTAAAGACACTAATACAAGCATTCTCTGACTCAACATACTCCACAATATACTTCACAATACATTCATGACACATTCATGAAGAAATTATTTTTGAATTTGAATTAAAGATGAGAAAACTTTCAATTAGTAGATTTTAATGGTTGAACTAGTAGGTGTTGGCAAGTATATTGAACCAAAAGGTTCTTTTTTTTTTTTTTTTATAAAAAAAGGCAAAACATCAAGAATTTATTTAGGTTTAAGTACCATTTTGGTCCCTCAACTTTACACTTTGGTACCAAAATTGTCCTTCATCTTTAAAAAGTACCAAAATTAACCTCAGACTTTCATTTTCGATACCAAAATGGTCCTTCCGTCAGTTAAATAACAGATGGCACGTTAACTTGCCAGCAAATCACTGGATTTTTTTAATTTTAATGACGTGTAATTTCCATGTAAGAAAATTTAATATTTTTTTTATTATTTCATAA